TCCCTCCGTTAGTGGCGAGACCACTCGATTTCGATGCCAGCAGTCGGTTAGTGAGTAAATAAACATGATGAATGAGAACACACAGGACTGTGCGTATAGACATATAATGTAATGCTAAACAGTAACGGGTCATTTGTTTGTTTCGGTTGTCTTTATTTGAATAAATAAAGATCGCCCTCCCGGGCGATTGGCCCGCCTTGGCCCGATAAAAGCCCTGGCTCGCACTGGCCCGACAGTGAAAATGCAGCTTGTGTATATAAGTTGTGCAGTGTAGCTGAGTTTGCTCATTTCAACATTAGTAAACAGTTAGATTTGTTCAAATCCAAGTTGTCAGTTGCTATTGACCCTTCGCTTAGCCACACACAAAAACCACCACCCACCAATCGTGGCTTAGCAACCGTAGCTACGCGCAGGGGCTCTGTCAAGTTTTCGAGCGAGGGAAACGGGCCAAAACGTTGTGCATGTAGATTGTGCAAATCTGACACCCGGTACCCTAAAAGTTTGGACGGGATGGTGGATTTTTTCCCTTTTCAAAACCAAAAACCCATTAGGAGAAATGCCAGCGTGGATCAGGCTGTGTGAGGGGCGCTAAAAGAGCAGAGTTAAGTTGGTTTTGTATTGATATTCCTGACATGTTCGGTGATAGACGCCAATAACTCGCACACCTCTTACGTTACCCTTAAAAGATTTAAACTGTGTTTCCTACAAAAATACAAAGCCGGATATGTTTCACAGCTGTCTTTTTCTCTTTTCTTTTTTTCGTTTGATATTATAAGCATCGCTCCATTTAAGCCTTTGCCATAGTAACATAGTAATACTGATAGTGAATAGGTCATACTGACATGAGTTATTGATCTGGAAAATACGACTCTGCAAAACTGTTGCTAACTTTGCTGAACTTCATATTTAAATCTATTTAAAGCTTCAAATATTTGAAATTACAAATCAACAGAACAAAACCAAGATGTGATCACAAACTGAGCTCTTGCGATCAATATACTTCACCAGCTGCTGTTTTTCAGTAATTTATAAAGAGCACACAAACATACAGACAGTAATAGGTGCTGTACATTGTTATGGGTCAATTATGCTAATATTCGGCACAAATCCACCAATTTCCCCTTTCTGGCTGTTTTTTCTATGGATGAACTATGTAAAAGCTCTGTCTATGCGTGTTTCCTCGTTGGTTAGTAACGCTATATGTCATTGCACAACAATAGCCTATCAGGCTTATTATCTAAAAATAGAGAAATCATGGTTTAATTTGTTATTATTAGATTATTTTTAAATTTAACCTCTCCTGCTGAGCATGAGCTGTTAAATGGTTAGCATATGAGGCGGCTAGGCTAAGCTATCTTCAATTTTGATTGAATTATGCTCTAATCGGTTGCCTATTATGTTATGTGAATATACCCCTGTAATGCATACTGCAGTCCTTTTTTGTCTGGCTCATCTTGGATATCTTATCTGTTCGCCTAAAATGACATTATATCCCTGGCAATGTTTGACACTAACGCTTACACATTGCAAAAGCCGTACCAGGCACGAACGCTTGACAGGCATAGCAACAGTAACTAAGAAGGTCAGGGCTTAGAAAAGGGTCAATTATTGCTTGCTTAGAACATTGGTGAAAGAGAAGTCAATTTTACATGTTACTTCCCTGCTGCAAAACTGCGATGTAAACTCTACTACGTTTCTCCCAAAATCAGACTTTTTTGTTTGCTATCTCTAACAAAATAATGCAATTACAAGCTTTTTGTGTTGTGAGGTTTTTGTGTTCATGTTTAAGAGCTCGTCTAATTTCAACATGATGTTCATAGAAAACATTTAATAGCCCAATAGTCTTTACTTTAATGTTTGTCCACATTTTACATTACAACTGAAAACTTGTCATAGTTATAATCAAACTTTGTTTTTTGTTTTTTGCTTGGAAATGAATGTGGTTGGAACCAAAGTTAATTGGACTGTTTCCTCTGTAATCCTCTTAAGCGGTGGACTGTACATTTCACGGTGGACTGTACATCTCTTCACAATCTGGCCTTAAGGCGATGGTAAAGCTGAATATTAAAAGAATAATATCAAGATTAGCCTGTATACTCTGACTACATTATAATTGTATGGTTTAATTAATATTTATTTATAATTTAAAACCCCTTTACTCACCAAGATTAGGCTACGTGTTTTGTGGAGGAACAATATTGAATCAGCTGTAAATGGCTTTAGCACAGTCCTGCGCTCAGAATGTTGCGTCCAGCAGCACTGAACACCCTTTCACTGCTGTTACTACAAGCTGAGATGCATCGATCTAATCTGGCTAATATTGCAAGTTTTAGGTAGGATTGTTTGTTCATCTTTTACCAGCCATAAACATCCATTTCATTTTCCATGACAGGTTTCAATGTTGTGAGTGTCCTCGTCATTTTCCCTGTCAGCTTTCTGTACACACATTGCTGTTTAGCTCTCTACTCTTCAGTATTTGTGCAACCGCCGGAATACCTTGACAGCTAGAATGACCCTTCATTTTGATCTGGTGGCTGGCCTCACAGCAGTCAAAGTTGGCTCTTTATGACTTCTCTGTCATCATTTGTTTTACCTTTGCAGGTATGAATTTTAATGTTGTAACAAACTATTTGATTACTTTCTTGCGCTAATCGTTATGCATCACATGACTGTCTGTCGGGTTTGGGAAAAGATCTTTATTATCTCTCTAGGCACACATACATACATAGTTGAAGAAGCAGTGCAGAAACGGAGAATTAAAATCAGAGGATCTTATCATGGCATTTATTGGGTAAAATTGCTCATTTTTACTGACATTCAATGTGTTTTTGGTCATTATCAATTTACTGTAATAGAGTGTGAGCAGCGGGAAAAATAGATCCAGCACCGAAATGATGGCTGCTACTTCAGCTCTGCTCATGCTCCGCACTATCCGCCCAATCTAAGCACTAATGCAAAGGTCTTGCTGAAAAATCCTATCTTTGCACCTTATGTTATAAATGTTTTAAAACTGCTGCCAAAATTATTTGTATGCTCATTACGTTAATATATTGCTAAATGTACAAAAAACCTTGACAACATCAGTTCAAAGCTTAAATCTGATTAAAATGACTTTTTTCAACTAAACCGACAGCTAAATAGATGGAAATAGCACTATGGTCAGACTAAGGTTTGAACATGGAAAAAATCTCCCCGCAGAGTTTCACTATAAATGTTTCCACAGAAGCCATCACACAAACCCCAATTGACCAGACACTAAACACTTCTCCATAGATAGAAACTCACCTCAGACTGTGTCCTACATGCATCTTATGTGAGGGGCCTGTGGGAAACTAGAGGTCAGCACAGACAAACAAGTTTAAATGTGTCTTTCAGTCTCCCTAAGTGTGATTCATGGGATGCTAACATATCTTTAGATATAAAATATGCATATAAAATGTTAAGCTCCAGTAATACATACCTATGGCATAAGGCATAATCACACCGCATGACAGTGTAAAAATAAGAAATGAGTTTAAAGTCTCTGTATGAATGCACTCTTTCTGATGTGGACAATGTGTCATTTATTACCGTAATACTGCAGTGTCAGTCAGCTCTCTTTACTGGAATGTTTGCAACTATGTGAAACCAAATAGATTTCATGCAAGCACAATATTGATACAGAGGATACCCATCCTCCCTCTTTGCTGTAAGAAAAACTAGGTCCATAGGGTCTAGACAAGACTGCTTGTGTCATAACTTTTACAGGATTAATTTATTTGGTTTGAAATTCTTGTTAAAATATCAACATTTCTTTGAATATAAAAACAGAGGTTAATGGAATTTTTGTGAATGAATAAATACAGTAGAACATTAGAGACTTGTTTCAAAAATATTAAAAGTGATTAAAGTTTCCAAACTTTTATCTACTAAGTTGATATGTTCTGAATATGATAACCTTTAATGGTGGGATGGTAAGGATCTGGGGTAGTGTGCACATGAAAACCTTGGTTAAACCAGAGATTAAATATCAGCTCGATCAGTTGGTCACTATGCGTGCACACCACCTCAGACACACATCTGTGATCTCACGAGTATAAAAATATGCACACATGCACATGGGCCTGTGGTGGATTTTGAGCTGCTTTTAGCTTCGCGTTCCAAATAAATAACCCAGTTTTATTGACACAAATAGAAAAAGCCAGGAGAAGGAAGAGAAAAAAAATATACAGAGATAGGTAGATAAAGTTCAGCTTACTAAGTAACAGCTTACTAAACACAAATCTGTAATAACACACCAGGCAGGTATGCAGTTAGTCTATATGGGAGTTTTTTGTGTCAATATTATATGGATATTTTCACACAGACTATTTAGGTTTTTATTTCTGTTTTTGTTTGAGATTTTCCAGTAGTATGTCAGCAATCTCAGTCCAGTAGTTAAGACTACTCAGTGCTCTCAGTTCTCCATTTTAGCCTCAAAAAAAGTGAATTTAAATCCCAATAACCCAGAGGCAAAAGTCTCAACAGTGATGCCTAATCCCTAAAAACTCTCGAACCATTGAAATAACATAAATAACAGTGCAGAGACTAGCAGCCATTACGTTAATCATAGTAACAACTCTGTAATAATTCTAACATTATTAGTTATGAAAAACATTATAGTGGGTCACTCCAGTAAACGCCCTAAAAATACAAGCTCCATTTTTTCTTTTTTGAGCTATTATCAGTGCCAAGCTCACAGGATAAACAAGAGCATCTTTAGACGTATTTGACATGTTCAGATTTCAAGATACATTCAGGTGAGTTTCCCTGACTGAATTGAGAATGGAAATAGTGACCTCTTCTGGACAAAGCTATAGTGTAAACAAATTTTGAAAATTAATTTGTGCCTCATGTTCCCGATCATGGCCAGAGGCAGTCCATGTCCACTTGATAATGTGTTATTTGTAAAAAACATGGCAGTTTTATTAATAGTTTAGGAATTTTTAAAGTGACAAAAGGACAATTCAAAACAACCAGGATTTGTTTAATGGCTTTAATGGCATACATTAAGGCAAACATAAATATACCATTATTGCTTATAATTATTACTACTACAATTATTATTTTATATCATTAAATATTTACATGTACAACTTTCTATTGAAAACAGAGCATGAAATTTTCTTTCACTTATTACTCAAAGCATTGGTAAAAATATAATCAATACTTATAGTACTAAGCACTTTAAATTTGAAGTAGTTAAAAGCAAAACTATTTAAAACCAATAAATACCAAATCAATAAATATACCAGGGTAATAAGTCTATTTAACTTTTAAAATATAAAAATAAAAAATGAATCAGTCATGTGTAAAATCACTGCGTACATGCACACTTGAATACCACATTATGAGATCTTAAGCTCTGCAGAACACCAGCTTGATCAGTTGCTCACTCCATGTCAGGAACACACTCACTCATATATGCACAGATATGCACATATACTGTATTTAGGACTCAGTAGTGGAATCCTGGATGATCCAGCTTTGTTATCCAAATAAACTGCCCAATTTGATTGAAACAAATAGAACTGCAAGGCAAAAGAGTTGAAAAAATTTAAGTGAGAAATAAAATCTGTTTTAAAGACTGTACCTAAGTATGCAGGGCTCAACAATAAATGTCTACTAGTGGGCCATGCCTAATGGCACAGAGTCATGTGAAATACATTTCAAACAGCTGACAGTGGATCAGCCAGTTCGGTGTCATCTCAAAAATGTACTAGCACTTTGATGTAACTCTCAGACAGCATCTAATTGTTCTCTTTTGTATCTTGTCAGGTACAGTTGTGTGAAAAAGTTTTTGCCCCTAACTTATGGAGCTAATAATTAGTCAAAAGAATCTGAATTTGAATTGTATTCATTTGAATTATTTATGATTGTAATTTAATAAACTATATATTTTTATGCTGTTAAAACTGTTTTGAATTAGAATTTCTTATTTTGAATATGAATTTCATAACTTGAATACTGAACAACTGAAATGTAAGACAGATGATTTTTAAGGCTGGATTTTTTAGAAATTTTTTTAAATTTCAAGATGAAAAAATTCAGAACATCAAATTCAATATTCTAACATTTAAAACCAGAAATTCAGATTGGGAAATTCAGATTTAGCAGAAAGTAGGTCAGGGGTCATCAACAGAGAAGAGTAGACAATAACAGAAAAGTCAAACTGACCATTTTGGCCAACCACAGAACTGCGTAAGTTTGCTAGCATATGTGAGGCTCAGATCACAAATCTTCTGCAAACTGACTATCGGGGGTCAGATATTTTCAGTAGTTTGTGTAATAAATATACATGCTTATAATGTTTTCAGTGTTTTGAGGGATAAATAGCTGATTCTGACCTATACTATATACTCTTACAACTTACCAGTCACATTTAAAAACTTTTCTCAAACTGCCCCAGCATTTTACAACTGTGGTAAATCAGTGGTTCCCAACCTGGGGTCCGCGCCCCCCTAAGGGGGGCGCCAGAGTTCACAAGGGGGGCGCGGGAGAGGATAAGTGTTGAGGTAGAAAAAGGCATAAAACGCTCCACTATTATATAGGGCTTTGCAATTAATCAAAAATCCGATTTCGATTTCGGCTTCAAACGATTATAAAAAAGCATTAATCGAGATAAATGATTATTGCATCATATACCGCCACTTTCCAGTTGTACACGTGTTGTTGCTCTTAAAAGCGCGAAAGAGCGCGTGCTTATGTGTGTGCGTAGCACGCACACGCAGTCAGAAGCATATGCGGCCGGTCAGCATTCGCTCTCATTCACACACTGAGACGTATGGCGAGCGGAATGGGTCAATAACTTATGGCGAGCGGAATGGGTCAATAACTTGACGCTGCAACGTTCACTCGTCTCACTGAACGTGACGTCTGCGTCTGCCGAACGTGACGTCTTCGTCTGCCGAACGTGACGTCTGCGTGTGCCGAACGTGTCGTCTGCGTCTGCCCCATTACTGTTCCGCTGCTTTAACGTGACGTCTGCGTCACGTCTGCGTCTGCTTCAAGGGTTTGCAGCAGATTGCTCTCATTTCTGCTTTATTATACCTATTCATTCTTTATCAGTGTTTTCACTTATCCACAGTTATGTTTCATTTGCAATTAAGTGCTTTTTACCTTTCTTATTTATAGTTTTTTTTATTTCAAATGGTAAATATTTATACAAATGATTTAAACATTTTGGTATGCCATATATGGTTATTCCTATATTGCTTCTTTTATTGTGGATACAGCTGATTGGTGTGTGTCTACAGTTTGCAGCAGTGTGTGTGCACACCTGATGGCTGTGTTTGACCTATAGTTCATGTGTGTGCTCATATAAAAGCCTTTGCTTTGAAATTGCAAGGAAATTCCATTATGAAAAATGTCTGTGTCAAAAGTATGGAACAAAATCAATGCCTAAAGTCTTGAATTAAAAAGCTTGTTGAATATCACAAACTGAAAAAAATAATACACCGTATTAACAAGTTCTTGCATTTTAATGACTTGAATTCCAGGGTTTGTATTTTTAGGTCCTGAAATTTAACATATCTTTTTATTTAAGCTGTGAATATTTTAACGAAAAATATTTCAAACACGTTTTCATACTTAAAAATTATTCAAAAGGTCATTTTCAGTTCATTTTATTTCAGTTCTAATATTCGCTTCCATAAATTCAGTGGATCAAATTCAACTGATAAATTTCAACATTACATCCGGGAACTGCAGGAGAAGCAATAGATTGCAGAGTGAAGATCGCCAGCTGCTCTAGCTTTCACCAGCAGGTGGAGATGGAATAATGTAAGATTTTTAACCCAGTAAACAGGCGAGAAAAAGGCTAATAAAGGCAAAAAAGTAGCATTCAATTTTAATATCAATACCTTGGACATTATAAATAATAAAAAGTATGAGTAAAATGAGTAAATGAGGTTTTAGTCATCTATATTTGCCCTTATGTAATGGAAGCCAGCTTTGTGATCGCATAAAGCTCACTCCTCGGATCCAGGGACAGACGTTGTTCTGCAATCTTATCGGAGCTTGTCTCCCATGCTGGCTCGTTACCTGCTCGGACCGGTGCGGTTACTTGCACATAAACCGTCTTTTGATGAATATGATGTTACACATTGTCTATCTTTATTGACTCTTTCTTCCATAGACGCTAAGTGTTATATTGACAGCTAAAGAATATAAACGTAAGAGAATCAGGAGAGGAAATATTATAATAATAATACAAAATAGATAAACATTGACAGGGCTAAGAACAATTACGAACAAAGATTTTCAAAACCAGAGAGATTTTATGAGAATGTCACAAAACAGTTTACTTGGAAATGTTAAACAGAGTTCAGGTATGATTTAAGGTTGGTTATGGATGGGGCGTCTAATTTAAAATAATTTAACATGCGAATGCATTAAAGGAGCGTCTTCAGTTATTCACAGAGAACCGTCTAATATGGCATAACTATAAGGAGTAATGTTTGCGCTGTTTAAACGCAGCTATGTCAGGATTGGGATAGGTTATACATTTTCATCATTTAAATTATTATTATGATTGTTAATATTATTATTGTATGACATTTAATTGGGCTATTGCGCTTAAATAAGTCATCTGTGATTTTAAATTAATATTTCTATTTATCCTTTTTATCACTCTGCCTGTCTTTCTCCTATTTTTTCTAATTTTTGGCGTTCTGCCATGGTTAAACGTTTGCAAAATGTCTTAGTTTGTCCAGATTATTGTTTTATTGTTATGTAGCCTATAGGCGAGAAAAAGGTAATAACGCAAAAGTGGCAATGTCGCAGCCAATGATAAGTAATAAAATGAGTCGCCTGTGGTTTGATAATAGGCAGTTATAACTGACTTTAATTTGTTTTCAGTATTAAATGAGAAAACCGTTATTTATAACTTTGCAGCGACCGTTTGTATTTTATGATTAGCAATGTTGATCTTTTTTGCAGTTATTAAACATATAAACTTATTTAAACTCGTTTAAATTTAATATAGTTGTCACTTGAGCTAGTTTCATAAGATTATGTTTAGAATGCGTGGTTTGACATGCGTGGTTGAGGTTCCTGCAAAGCAGCTCAATGTTCATCCTCATGGGGTTACTGAGCTTTAATCGCCATCTACTGGAGAGAATGTATTTGCTCATTTATTCTATTAACTCTTTTCTGCAAGTCTGTTTTATGATTTCACAAAGTCAAACCATTATGTTTTTATTTTATATTTTGAGATGATCATATTTAAATAAACAATTGCTAGGGTAGCTAATAGTTTCTTTTTTCTTGTTTTTAAAAAAAAATCAGTAGCTTATAAAATCATAATTTTTGCTTGACAAAGTTATTAGTTTAGGATACTGGATGCATTTTTGCTGTGTTGGAAACTCATAAGCTCACACTAATCAATTATATTATCAGAAATGACAGATATAAGAAATCCATTAATATTCATCACTCTTTTTACAATTATACAAGCAATTTCTCGCCGACGTCAGCTCCACTTTCGGAAATGGTAAACAGCGAGGTGTTATTCATATAAAGCCCAAGCATGACATATGTCATGATTAATATAATAATCGAAACACTCTTGTAGGCTATTCTTATGCTTGGCCAAATGTCATGACTTTCACTTTACATTATTATGCACAAGCCCAGATATCATCTGAAACTTTGGAAGAATTCCTATCATATACTGGCAGCCATCCAGCATCTCTTAATCAGTTTGATATGCGGCGCTGGCTCTGACCGGCCACCGGAGCTCACGGCCACTCGTTCGACTTTGTCATGAGCAAGCCGCACCGCACATGCATAAAAACGTCAATCATTTCATTCATTCATCAATTCATTCATTTTCCTTCTGCTTCGTCTCTATTTTAGAGGAAAAGCGATAATCTGGACAAACTAAAGACATTTTGCAAACGTTTAACCGTGGCAGAACCCCAAAAACTAGAAATAAAAGAAGAGAAAGACGACAAAGTGATAGCTAAAAAGGATAAATAGAAATATTAATTTAGAATCACGGATGACTTATTTAAGCGCAATAGCCCAAATACATGTCATAAAATAATAACAATCATAATTTAAATAATGAAATTATAACCTATCCCAATCCTGACATAGCTGCGTTTAAATAATAACTGAAGACGCTCCTTTAATGCATTCGCATGTTAAATTATTTTAAATTAAACGCCCCATCCATAACCAACCTTAAATCATACCTGAACTCTGTTTAACATTTCCAAGTAAAATGTTTTGTGACATTCTCATAAAATCTCTCTGGTTTTGAAAATCTTTGTTCGTAATTGTTCTTAGCCCTGTCAATGTTTATCTATTTTGTATTATTATTATAATATTTCCTCTCCTGTTTCTCTTACGTTTATATTCTTTAGCTGTCAATATAACACTTAGCGTCTATGGAAGAAAGAGTCAATAAAGATAGACAATGTGTAACATCATATTCATCAAAAGACGGTTTATGTGCAAGTAACCGCACCGGTCCGAGCAGGTAACGAGCCAGCATGGGAGACAAGCTCCGATAAGATTGCAGAAC